CCAGTACAAAGTATTGGATAAATACATGGAACAACAAGAACTCCTATACACTGTTGGTGAAAGTAGAAACTGGTACCATCCATCCCTTTGGAAATGATTTTGCATTATCCAATAAAATTGAAAATAGGTATATACTATGATCAAATTAATCTACTTCTAGGTATATATACTAAAGAAATTCATGGACATATGCAACAGGATATATGTACAAGTATATTCTCAAAAGTATGGTTTATAATAGCCCTAAACTGAAAAAAAATGAACATCAATTAACAGTAAAGTGGATAAGTAAAATCTTTAAAAGACGGAATGAAAGTAAATGAACTATACCTACATGCAATAAAGTGTATAAATTTCATTAAAAAATTAATAAGAGGTAAGAAAAATATAATTCAAAAATAGGCAAAATTAAGCCAACTGTTTAGGTATGCATTCATATGTGGTACAACTTGAGAAAGGCAGTGAAATTATCATAAGCCAGGATAGTCATTACCTCCAGAGGACAAAAAAGGATTATTTATCTAGAAGGGAACATAATAGCTCCTAGGGTGGTAGTAATGTTCTATCTCTTGAACTGGATGGTTCTAGAAATATGTATCCTACATACTCTTCTGTATAAATGTTATACTTCACATTTTGAAAAAAGTGATGATAAACACCACTCCATAGAGAAAAACAGTTATGCTGATGGGTTCCTAATGGGTTCAGGCTGCCAAGCAACCATATTATATTTCCCTAGTCCACTCCTCCTCCTACTCTCCTGGAATAACAGTATTTTATACCTCTGTTCTTAAAAGCTCCAATACCTCCTCCTCTGTCCTCACCCTCAGTTGGTGATTTCCTAAGTAACTGAGAGAAATGAAAGCAAAGAACATTTCCACAGACACACCACTACAAATACCCACCTATTGTGATTTTTCACCCACATATTCTACTTTCCCTTAGCTCAAGTCTCTATGATACTACCTAAGGCCAGTCCGCCTTTTTGTGCAAGAGATCCAATCTCCTCTTGCCTTCTCAAGAACATTACAGGAACTCTCCCATCTGTCACCTGTATCATCAATTTCCTTTAGCAAACAAACATGCTGTTATTTCTTGACTCAACTTCCCCCACCAGCTATGACCCCATTTCTTTGCTCCTTTTTTTAGTTAAACTTCTTTAAAAAATTATCTCCAATTCTGCTCTTTCCATTCTTTCTTAAATCTACCACAATCAGATTTTTGGCCTGACCACTCTGTCAACTGCTCATCAAGATCATCAATAGTCTCTAATGGTTAATACTGAGCTCTCATTTTACGTATGTTCAGGAGCACTGACACAGGTTAGCATTCCTTGCTCCCTGATAGATTTGCATCACTGGGTTTCTGGTAAATCATGCTCTCCTGATTTTCTTCCTGTGTAATTGGTCACACCTTCTCAGTTTCCACTGCTGCCACTTCTGATTCCTCTTCTACTTAATGATGGTATGCCCCTCAGTGTCTTTGGTATTCTTCTATCTGTACTCACTCTCTTGGTAATCTCATCCAGTCTAATGATTTAAATGTATTTTCGTGCCAGTATTTCCAGTTCAGACCTCTGTCTTAAACTCCAGACTCATTTCTAACATCTAATAGACATCTGAAATTCCATTATGTTCAATACCAACCTTCCAATTTCCCTGCTAAAACCTGCTCTTTCATACATTAACCATCCTTATTTCTATTTAAGGACTTTCCTTAAATAGAGAGACCATCCATTTTGTTGTTCAGACCAAAAAATCTGGAGTCATCCTTGTCTCCTCTCCCAATATCTAGTCCATCAGTAAATTCAGTATATTCCATCTCCAGATATAGCCAGGATTTGAAGATTTCTTCTCCACTGATAATCAGCCCAAGCCACATTTATATCACACCTGAATTACTACAATAACTTTCCTGTCTGTTCTCTCTGTCTACACCCTTTGCCCTCTAATAACCTATTCTTAATATGCCAGCAGAAGGATCCTTTTAACAGTTAACTGAGACATTCTCTCTCTCCTCTGTTCAAAATCCTACTATAGCTACCCATCTTACTCAGAGGAAAAGCCAATGACATGCATTCCCTTTAAACCCAGGACAACATCACCATTTTTTAAACTTTTTTTTTTTTTTGAGAAGGAGTCTTGCTCTGTCACCAAGCTAGATTGCAGTGGAGTGATCTTGGCTCACTGCAACCTCTGCCTCCCAGGTTCAAGTGATTCCCCTGCCTCAGCCTCCTGAGTAGCTGGTACTATGGCTAATTTTTTTGTATTTTAGTAGAGACGGGATTTCACCATGTTGGCCAGGATGGTCTCGATCTCCTGACCTCGTGATCCGTCTAGTGATTCCCCTGCCTCAGCCTCCTGAGTAGCTGGTACTATGGCTAATTTTTTTGTATTTTAGTAGAGACGGGATTTCACCATGTTAGCCAGGATGGTCTCGATCTCCTGACCTCGTGATCCGTCTAGTGATTTCCCTGCCTCAGCCTCCTGAGTAGCTGGTACTATGGCTAATTTTTTTGTATTTTAGTAGAGATGGGGTTTCACCATGTTGGCCAGGATGGTCTCGATCTCCTGACCTCGTGATCCGTCTGCCTCGGACTCCCTAAGTGCTGGGATTACAGGTGTGAGTCACCGTGCCCAGCCTTTTTAAACATATTTTTAACACACAAAATGAAGCCTAAAAAAGTAATTCCTAATCTTCAAACTAGTTCTGGTCTATGTAGAAATCTTAATTAATCCAAGCTGGGCCCAGGGGCACATGCCTATAGTCTTAGTTACATGAGAAGCTGAGGTGGGATGATCATTTGAGCCCAGGAGTTCAAGCTCAGGCTCAGCAACACAGTGAGATGAGACCCCATCTCTTAAAAACAAAACAAAACAAAAAAACTATTAACTAATCCACACTGTATAATGATAATGTAAATCACTGTATAATGATAAGGTAAATGTAAAATGCAGTGCATTTTTAGAAATGTCTATTCATTATTTTAACATGATGTTCTTTTTCCTACTTTTTTGTTAAGTGTTCTGTTTTTTAAACGTTAATGTTAAATGGCAGGTTTATAAAACATTTTATTATTTGAAAAATAAAAATGTGGCAGAACTATGTTTTATTGTCTTTTTCTCTATTTTCTCCCTCCACTCCCTACACTTTTTCACTGCTGAATTAAAAAACAGAATACTTTTACTGGTATATGAAAATGAAGTCTGGGTTATGGTATATGAAAATAAAGTCTGGGTATTATCAGATATCTACTTGATAAATCCCAGCCAAAAGGATTTATCAAGTAGATATCTGCACTAAAAGGTCACTAAACCACAGAGAAACTATACTATAAGGGAAACTTACATTGGCTATGGTATTATAGTCACACCTCTCCTGTAGTTCTGTCAAAACTGGCTATGTGATATTAAAATTCCTAATGTCCCTGACCCTATTTTTCCTCATCTATAAAGGGAAAATGATAATAGTATACAGTTCATAAAAGTATGAAAATTAAGATGATATATATAAGTGATGATATATAACAGCTACCTATGTGTTTAATTAATACAACACTATACAGTGTTATATCATGGGAGACAGAATAGGAGGAAGGTAAGTGGGAGTAGTCCACCTGGTGCAGAAAAATATTTTATCCACTGACATTGTTAAGAACTAATGGCACATGGTGATAATATTTATAAGCATTTTGGTTAGTTTAATTATTGTTTTTAAATTCTCTGCAGACTGTGCATCCCTTTCCTGCCTTCACCAGGTCATCACAGCAAAAGATCATCTCTCACATTCATTCTTAACTGAAAGCCTACTTAGCGTTAGGCAGAGTTTATGGTAGGGAGACAGAAGGTAGAACAAGAGTATAGTCTTAAAAAGTCAGAAAACAGGCCGGGCACAGTGGCTTACACCTGCAATCCCAGCACTTTGGTAGGCTGAGGTGGGTGAATCACGAGGGGAGTCCAAGACGAGCCTGGCCAAGATGGTGAAACCCCGTCTCTACTAAAAATACAAACATTAGCCGGGTGCAGTGGCAGGGACCTATAATCCCAGCTACTCGGGAGGCTGAAGCAGGAGAATCGCTTGAACCTGGGGGGTGGAGGCTGCAGTGAGCCAAGACTGTGCGACTGTACTCCAGCCTGGGTGGTGACAGAGTGAGACTCCATCTCAAAAAAAAACAAAAAACAAAAAACAAAAAAAAAAAACAGGAAAAAACAGATGCTGGAGAGGATGTGGAGAAATAGAAATCTGTTGTTTTCTCAGGAAACAACAGATGCTGAAGAGTATGTGGAGAAATAGGAATGCTTTTACACTGTTGGTGGGTGTGCAAATTAGTTCAACCATTGTGGAAGACAGTGTGGCAATTTCTCAAGGATCTAGAACCAGAAATACCATTTGATCCAGCAATTCCATTCGTGGGTATATACCCAAAGGATTATAAATCATGTTACTATAAAGACACATGCACACAAATGTGTATTGTGGCACTATTCACAATAGCAAAGACTTGGAACCAACCCAAATGTCCATCAATACTAGACTGGATAAAGAAAATGTGGCACATATACACCATGGAATACTATGCAGCCATAAAAAAAAAGATGAGGTCATGTCCTTTGCAGGGACATGGATGAAGCTGGAAACCATCATTCTCAGCAAAATACCACGAGGACAGAAAACCAAACACTGCATGTTCTCACTCTTAAGTGGAAGGTGACCAATGAGAACACATGGACACAGGGAGGGGAACATCACATACCAGGGCCTGTTGGGGGGTGGGGGGCTAAGGGAGGGATAGCGTTAGGAGAAATACCTAATGTAAATGATGTTGATGGGTGCAGCAAACCAACATGGCACATGTATACCTATGTAACAAACCTGCACGTTGTGCACGTGTACCCTAGAATTTAAAGTGTAATAATTTTTAAAAAAATTTTTTTAAAGAGTATAGTCATCCTGCAGTCTTAAATAAACTAAAGATAATTATTTAGAAAACAAATACTTACCTTTCTTGAATTTATGTACAGGAAGTTTCTTAAGTTGATCTTTACGAAGTCTGTTTCTTCTAGCTCTATGTCTATCCTGAACAAATTTTGTGATCTAAAAATAAAAGAGTAAAAAAAGGAGTCAGATATTAAATGTGCAAATAGAAAGTGACCATTAAAATAACAAATATCTTTTAAGTTTCTGGATAGCTACTGCAAATCAATTCAATTCATTTAAATTCGAACTGCAGTAGTATTATTAATTAAAGCATTAAATCGTATTAGTGATTAGTTAACCCATAAATTACCCCTTGAAGTTTTTATTAATTGATCTTGATTACCTTTGATTTACTGACAGAGACATTATAAAAAACATACAACTGTTTGCCTGCAAAAATACAAATGGTAAACTATAGATTTTATAAAGACTCCAATGGGTTAAAAAAAAAAAAAGAATGGGGGCCGGGCGTGGTGGCTCACGCCTGTAATCCCAGCATTTTGGGAGGCCAAAGCAGGCGGATCATGAGGTCAGGAGATCGAGACCATCCTGGCTAACACAGTGAAACCCCATCTCTACTAAAAATACAAAAAATTATCCAGGCGCGGCAGCAGGCACCTGTAGTCCCAGCTACTCGGGAGGCTGAGGCAGGAGAATGGCGTGAACCCGGGAGGCAGAGCTTGCAGTGAGCCGAGATAGTGCCACTGCAGTCTGGCCTGAGTGACAGAGCGAGACTCCATCTCAAAATAAACAAATAAATAAATAAATAAGCGAGACTCCATCTCAAAATAAATAAATAAATAAATAAATAAATAAAATAAAAATAAAAATTAATGGGAAGGTTGATATTCCTATATATTACAAACTAATAAAAATTTCAAACATACACTTATTAGTTACTGCAGAATAATGGGCAGAAATAATGCAGAACACCTTCACTACAAATATTCAGAAATGCTGGATAAAATATACAAAATATTTTAAACTATAAATTGCTATGCTTGCAAAAATAAAAAGGAAGTACACAGGGCCAAAAACCAAATACCAAAACACCCTTTGCAAAGGAAAAATATGAATGTCAAATTTAAGAACTTCTCTGCTCAAAAGGCACTGTTAAAAAAATAAAAGACAACTGAAGCGGGAGGATTGTTTGAGGCCAGGAGATCAAGACCAGCCTGGGCAACATAGTGAGACCCTATCTCTAAAAAGAAAAAAATTAGCCTGGTGCAGTGCCGTGTGCCTGTAGTTCCAGCTACTTCGGGGGCTGAAGTGTGAGAATCATTTGAGTCCAGGATGTCAAGTCTGCAGTGATTTATGTTTGTGCTACTGTACTCCAGCCTGGGCAACAGAGTGAGAGCCTGTCTCCAAAACATAAATAAATAAATGAATACATAAATAAAATTTAAAAATTAAAAATAAAGATGAGCCACAGACTGAAATATTTGCAAATTGTATACACAAGGGATTTGTATCCAGAATATATACAAAAAACTCTCAAAGCTCAATAATAAGAAAACAAGTTACCCAACAGAAAAAATGGACAAAATATTTGAAGATACTTCACCATACAAGACATACAAACAGCAAATAAGCTCTTGAAGAGATGTGCAAAGTCAGCAGTCAACAGGAAAACAAAAATTCAAATCACAAATACTATAATACAATACACCTATTCGGTGACTAAAATGTAAAAGACTGACTACACCAAGTGTTGGCATGGAAGTGGAGGAACTGGGACTCTCATACACTTCTGGTGGGATTGTAAAATGGTACAACGACTTTGGAAAAGAGCTTGGCAATTTCTTATGAATCTAAACACACACTTATCCTGTGACCCAACTGTCCCACTCCTAGATATACTTACCCAATGGAAATGAAAGCATATTTCCATACAACAAATGTCCATGTCAGCTTTATTTGTAAAAGCCAAAAACTAGAAACAACCCAAATGTTGATCAATAGGTAAATGAGTAAACAAATCATGGTATATTTACACAATGGAATACATCTCAGCAATAAAAAGGAATGAATAATCCATGTACTCAATAACATATATAAATCTCAAAATAATTATGGTGACAGAAAGAAGACAGACACAAAAGAGTACAGACTTTATGATTCCATTTATACAAAGCTGTAGAAAATGCAAAGCAATCTATAGTGACTAAAATCAGATTTGTAGTTGCCTGGGCATGGAGAAGGGTGGCGAGGGGAGGATGAAGGAAAAGTTGAAAGGCACAGAAGGAAGGCATTGCCAAACTTTTTAGGGTGGTTAATATCTCATTATCTTGATTGTGGTGGTGGTGGTTTCACAGGTATATACATACATATCTGTTACATATGTGTATGATATGTGTGATACATATGTGATATACATATGCAAATGTGATATATATATGCATATAAACCTATGTCAAAACTTACCAAAGTGTACAATTTAAATATGTGTAATTTATTATATCAAATCATACCTCCATAAATTTTTTTAAAGTTTAATGGTAACCACTAAAAGAGCAATATAATGCAAATTTTCATATCAATAGGGAAAAGAAAGTAAAAGTTATTAATGCAAATTTACACAGAAGAAAAAACAGAATAAAAAGTAAACAACAGAAATTAATCCAAATACATATGTGATCACAATATATGTTAAGTGGATTAAATTCACCAGTATTTAAAGGGAGTATATCACATTGTATAAGAAAAAAATTCCAATCATATGCTATTTACAAGACACAAGATAAAAACTGAATGATACATTAGGACAAAAATAAAAGTAAAAAATAAAGGGATAGGACCAGGTGCAGTGGCTCACACCTGTAACTCCAGTGCTTTGGGAGGCCAAGGCTGAAGGACTGCTTGAGCCCAGGAGTTTGAGACTAGCCTAGGCAACACAGAGAGGCCCCATTTCTACAAAAAAAAAAATATAAAAACAATTAGCTGGGCATGGTGATGTGCGCCTCTAGTCCCAGCTACTTGGGAGGCTGAGGTGGGAGGATCACTTGAGGTTATAGTGAGCTATGATTGTGCCACTGCACTCCAGCCTGGGTGACAGAGCAAGATCCTGCATAAAATAACCAAATTAACATAAAAAATAAAATAAAGGGATAAAGATCTATTAAGCAAAAGAAGCCTAGAATATCAAGCAAAATAGAATTTAAGGAAAAAAGCATCATTAGGAGAGTCATGACAACAATAAAAACAACACCTTATCTAGAAACAAAAGAGTGAAATACATACATTCACAAGCTCAGCAACTTATAGCGTAAGCACACAAAAAATTGTTAAGACTATAGATCTGTGCTGTCCAATTTTGGTAACCACCAAGTACATGTGACTACTGAGCACTTGAAACATAGATAGTCTGAATTGGGATGTGCTGTAAGTATAAAGTAGACACCAGATTATGAAGACACTGTACAAAAAGAATGTAAAAATATCATATATTTGTATTAATTGAATGTTGTTATATATTTTAGATTTATTGGGTTAAATATAGTATTAAAATTAATCTCATCTGTTTTCTTTTTTTAACCTTTTAAATTTGGCTACTAGAAAATTTAAAATTATAATAAAATGTGGCTCATAAGATTGTTCTATTCTTAGCACAGCTTCAGAAAATAGAAAAGAACGCAGAAAATTATTAACGATTGTGGTGATGGTTGCATAATTCTGCAAATAAAATTATTGAATTGTGCATTTAAATGAGTTAATTTTTATGTTAATTATATCTCAATAAAACTGTTAAAAAATTAGACAAAACAAATTCACAAGTTCGAACTAATGAACACAGAACTGCCCTTCGTGTCTTTTCACACACAGGGAATGTTTACAAAATTTAATCAGAAAACCATGCCACAAAGAATCCATAACATACAATGTTTTCTTACCTCAACACAACTGAATTAGAAATCAATAGGAAAAAAATACATACTTTGGAAATGTAAAACTGTACTGAAATAATTTATAAGTCACAGAACAAATCGTAATGAATATCTACTTTTCTGAGGGGGTGTTATAATCAGCATGCCACCTAGATTCTAAATAACTTGAGAAATAAGACCATGAACTGCCAGAAGGAGGAAGGTGAAACAACTAACTCACTGGAGAGAGAAACAGAACTTTTTGTACTTGTTTCAGCAACACATATACTAAAATTGGAATGATACAGAGAAGATTAGCATGACCCCCGTGCGGTGCAAGAAACATAATTTTTTAATTGAGCAATAGAATTAGGTTGCCTTAGCCACTCAGATATAGACAAACACAACTTTGGAATGAGGTAGGCCTTCCCTTCACCCTGTCGCAGAATTGCAGAACCAGCCCTAACCCTGGAGGAGCTGAATCAACATCTATGTCCCAAAGTCAGGTTAATAACAAAACAAAGATGGTGGAGCTGAGCCAAGTGTGCCCAATTTATTCTTCCTAACTATGCCACACAGATAAGACACTTTATCTCCTCTAAGGTGGAAAGAGTAAATGGGCAGAGAAGGGCTAAGAGTTATAGTAACTGAGTTCCCCCTTCATACGGATTGAAACATTAAGAGTGATAAAGAAACATCCTACATTAAAATGAAAAACTTTTAAATTTAAGTCGAATGAAAACAAGAATTTTCCTTATCAAAAGTTGTGGGTTTCAGCTATAGTTATTGTTGTAGAAAAATTTATAACCTAAATGCATATACTAGAAAAAAAAAATAAGCATTTGGCTGAATAAAGTAGAAAAAGAAAAGCCATACAACCAGACAAGGTAGAAGAAAGAAAATAAGAACAAAAATTCATGATAAAGATAAAGAAAGTAAAGAATTTAGCATTAAGTTCTACCAAAATGTAAGCGGCTTAACATCGGGGATTTTTACCGATTTTGTTTACTGATGAATCTGTAGACCCTTGAACAGTGCCTAGTTCACCATAGGTACAGAATAAATATTTATTGAATGAAAACCTACTTCTATGAAAGACTAATAAGGCAATAATTTCTGACAACATTGTGAAAGGCACAGATGGATATGAATAAAGATAACTTATTCCACAAATAGTAGAAATTCTCTTTAAATTGTTATTTGAATATATGAATATTATAAATCACTTTATTCCACTACACTTAAAAACCGGAAATTTCTTAGAAATACAATTTAGTAGGAACTGGAAAACCATCTGAATATCTATATAACTATGAAAAAGTCACTAGACCTAGATGATTTTATAGGCATCCTCTACAAAAATGTCAAGTAATAGATAACCCAAATTTTCTTTAAAAAAAAAAAAACTATTTTAGAAAGTAAGAGAAAGCTTTAGTTTTATGAGCTATAATTTTGATTGTCTAGTTTTTTTTAAATTATGGTAAAATATACACAACATAAACCTTACTATCTCAACCACGTTTAAATGTACAGTTCGATGGCTTAAGTACATTCATACTGTTGTGCTACCATCACTACCATCCATTCACAGACTTCATCTTATTAAGCTGAAACGCTATATCCATGAAACAATAACTCCCCCTTCCTCAGTCCCCTCAGTTCCTGGCAACCACCATTCTAGTTTCTGTCTCCATGAATTTGGCTACTCTAGGTATGTCGTATAAGTAGAATCAGTATTTGTCCTTTTGCGACTGGCTTATTTCACATGGCATAAAGTCTTCAAGGTTCATCTATGTTGCAGCATGTGTCAGAATTTCCTTCCTTAAAAACACTGAATAATATTCCATTGTATGTATATTCCACATCTTGTTTATCCATTCATCCGTCAATGTACACTTGGGTTGCTTTCATCGTTGGCTATTGTAAATAATATTGTTATGAACATGGTGTACAAATATCATACGAGTCTTTGCTTTGAATTCTTTTTGGTATATACCCAGAAGTGGAATTACCAGCTCGTATGGTAATTCCATGTTTTATTTTTTGAGGAGTTGCCATACTGTCTTCTTTAGTGGTTGTTCCATTCTACCTTCCTACCAACAGTGCTCAAGGGATTGTCTAGTTTTCATGTCAAGGTTATTCTGGCCCCATAAAACCAAAGCTTTCTCTTACCTGAATATTCAGATTGCTAATATTCTAGGATTTTTACATCGATGTCCAAGTATAAAAAATTAATCTATATTAGAAATCTGAATAATCTAGAGATGTAAGGGCAAAATTTCTATATCATAAACAGGATTTATCTCCAGAATATATGGAATTTCAAAATTTACAAAGCATATTAATGTAACCCAACATAAACATAAGAGAGAGAAAAATCAATTATTACTACAACAGATGAAAGACATACAATCCAGTACCCCATTTTGAAAAGTCAAGCAAATAAAAATCTGATTTATGTCCAGGACTTATACTGCTTTTTCCCCCTTATTTTCCCAAAAAACATAGCACAATGTTAAAGGAGGTAGAACAATAGACATCCATTTCCTGTTCTTGACCTTTTTTTTTTTTTTTTTTGAAACTGAGTTTCGCTCCTGTTGCCCAGGCTGGAGTGCAATGGCAAGATCTCAGCTCACTGCAACCTCCGCCTCCTGGGTGCAAACGATTCTCCTGCCTCAGCCTCCTGAGTAGCTGGGATTGAAGGCGCCTGCCACCATGCCCAGCTAAATTTTCTATTTTTACTAGAGATGGGGTTTAACCACATTGGCCAGGCTGGTCTTGAACTCCTGACCTCAGGTGATTCACCTGCCTCGGCCTCCCAAAGTGCTGGGATTACAGTGTGACCCACTGCACTCGGCCCTGCTGTTCTTGACTTTCAAGGGAAGGCTTCTAGCATTTCACCATTTAATAATGTTTATTTTAAGTTTTTAGTCTATATTCTTTCTCTGTATAAGGATATTTACTTGTACTCCTGGTTTTCCAAGGGTATTTTCGTTTGTTTGTTGTTTGGTTTTCTAACTTACTGTCTACTTTCTTGCTTCTACGCTGAAACCTCAAGGGAATCAACAAACAAATTACTGTAATGGAATTTGTTACACGATTACATGATTAATGATTAATGACATGATTATATGATTAATACATAAAAATAAATAATGTCCCCTGACCAAACCTTGCTTTCTAAATACAACTCTCTAATTAAAAAAACTAGGACTCCTTGGGAAAAGGTCTGATGCTAGGGGTGGGACAGGAAAAATATAAAAAATATACAATGAACCTGAAGCATCTTATAGTATAAGACAGTAGTTAAGAAGTGCTTAATAATCATTTAAAAAGGGATAGCACTGAATCAAAGGAACATAAGATCCAGCATGACAACAGCCAAAGTTAAACAATTTAAAAACAATCAAAAACCAAAAATAACGTATGAATAGTACTGGATTATAACCTAAGTGTAAAATAAATACACATGAGTGCATACTAATGTAAGTGGTTGGTTGAATAAATAAATGCGGAGAAATCTTCCTTGCAGAAGAATTTCAGATAATGCAGATATGCCCTCCCCTTCCCCCACCTTAAGAGTGGGCTATACTTAGTGCCTCACTTCTAAAGAAAGAACAGAGTAGAAAAAGGAAAAAATATTAACTTTATAATGGAGAAATTCAGCAAACACTACCTTAACCAAGGAATGAAGGTTAGCATCATCAGTGATGTTCTACAGATATCATATACCCCCAAATATGATGTGAGGAGAAGGGCACTTCACCTCGGTGATACTCTTTCGAAAAACCTGTAGCCTTGTCTAATCATGAGAAAAAAATCAGGCTGAGAGACATTCTACAGGATACCTGGCTAGCACTCCTCAAAACTATCAAGGCCATGAAAAACAAGAACAGCAAAATTGTCATAGACCAGAGGGAAGACAGGATAATGAAATACAATGTGGTATCCTAGATTTGATCCTGGAACAGAAAGAACACATTAATGAAAAACCTGGTAAAATCCAAAATGTAGAGTTTAGTTAATAGTAATGTACCAATGTCAGTTTCTTAGTTTTGACAAAAGTCTCCTGGCGATGTAAAATTTTAACAATGTGGGAAAGTAGATGAGGGATAAACAGGAATTCTCTTCTTTGCAAACTTTCTGTAAATCTTAACATTATTCCAAAATTAAACGTTCAATAAAAAGCAATGCTCTAATACTCAATTATGAGAATAACCAATTATAAAATATAATTTCAAAAATCCCTTTTATGGTAGCAAGAAAAACTGTATGTGTGATAAGTCTAAAAGATGACATGCAAAACATTTATAGAAAAATTATTATTCAACTGATGGAAAGACCTAAATAAGTAAATTTAAAAATACGATAGCATCATAGGAAGACTGAACATTTTAAAGATAGCATTTAATCTTTAATCTATGAATTCAATATAATAATAAATGTACTGAATATTAAAATGCATATTCTTTATGACAAAGAAGTTGGCAAGAATAGTGGGACTGTTTTATATCTTTGCAAATCTATTTTAATATCTGTAAAAATAGAATACAGAAGGATTTTCAAACTGCTTCTGTTTTCAAATATTTTGATATTGCACATCACGTAGCCTCTAGAAACTTTTACTACACGCGTCTAAGAGAATGAGAGTGACAAAGGCAAATATTACCTTAATATTATTATGTAAATAATTTTGATTTTGCAGACCTACTAATAGTCCTGTGACCATACTTTGATAATCACCATTACGGAGAAATAATATGTCATTCCCCCTTAACCTTAAGCTCTCACATTATTTTTTTCATACTTTAATATAAAAATTTTCAAACATACAGAAGAGTTGAATTTTACAATAAATACCCATATATCCACCTGAATTCTATAATTAACATTTTACTATGCTTTTTGTCACATCTCTATTTACCCATCAATACATCTTACTTTTTCCTCTTATTTTTTTACAGTGTATTTTAAAGTAAGTTGCAGGTATCAGTGTACTTTCCCTAAAATACTTTGGCATGCAAATCATTACTCAGTTTAGTAAATTTTTTTTTACAGTTCGTTTTCTTTTGAGGTAAAATTTACATATAATGAAAAGTACAACACAATTGATTGTGTGAATCCAGACAAATGCCATGCATTTTTGCAACCCACATCTCTATCAAGATACAGAACATGACTGTCATCCCCCAAAAGTTCCCTCATACTCTTTTCAGTAAATTGATCACTTCTCTCTAACCCCCCAGAGGAAATCACCATTCCTATTTTTTCCTACTCACATTATCTTTGTTTTGTCTAGAACTTCATATAAATGAATTTATACAATATGCACTCTTTTATGTACATATTGTTTAAATTCTCTCACTCAATACAATGTTTTTAGATTCATCCATACTATTTTTTAAAAATTATTAAAAGTTAATGTACCTACCATGAAAATGACTATTAAGATGAGACAGATGCCCACTATGATAAGGAAGGGAATTAGGTAGTATTCCAAAGGAAGACTAAATTCTGGAACTAAGATAAGGTGGCCCCTAGAAGAAAACAAAAATCAACAATTGAGAATTGAAGAATTGTTAAATTCTGATGTTAATTAAAAACAGGAAAAAATATTTTTAAAAACAGACATATAGACATTACAATTAAATCCACTACACACATTTCATTTTCTAAAATACGACTTCCAATAATTTAAGGAATGCTTTCTACATCTTTAAGTCTATTTTACATATTTTTCCTAATAGCATGCCTATATGATTAAACTGTGTGAAGAAAACTAGCCAATCAATACTTACTGTGTCTATCCTGGAGATACGTTATTTATTTATTTTATTTTACTTTATTTTTTTGAGATGGAGCCTTGTTCTGTTGCCCAGGCCGGAGTACAGTGGTGCAATCTCAGTTCACTGCAACCTCCACCACCGGGGTTCAAGTGAGGTAGCTGGGATTATAGGTGCCTGCCACCATACCCTGCTAATTTTTGTATTTTTAGTAGACAAGGTTTTGCCAAGGTGGTCTTGAACTCTTGACCTCAGGTGATCCACCCGCCTCGGCCTCCCAAAGTGCTGGGATTACAGGCGTGAGCCACCACGGCAGGTCTAGAGATGTTGTTTATTGAATTTACTAACTGGAGCAAAAGTGTATTTTATATGTAAAATCATGGTAGTACCTTGGGTACCAAAAAGAACCTCCACCTCAATCAAATTACTGTTCATAAGTTCTTCCTATGGAAAAACTCTAGAGTCAGTATTGATAATTATGCTGTTTCCTCCCTATCTGCTTTACATGTATCTGTTGTACCAGGTACAATGCATACAGGTCCTATACTCTACAATTATCTATGAGATACGGAATGAAAAACTGGTCAAATAATTCATAAGAGTTACAGCTTCCCGTATATCCCCCACCTTCTCCACCGCTGGACTGAAAAAAACTACAGAAATGTGTATGTTGTAAGGTGGGGAATAGGAAATGCTACATGCCTTAATTCTCATTTGTCATTAACCATGTTATTACTGTGACATTATCATTACAAAAATTGACAGGGACCCATGAAATAAAACTGTAATCAAAATAAGCGCATCATGTTGCATGAGGAAATTTTACATGGCATCAAAGCTCTGCATTAAAAATTGACAGGGACCCATGAAATAAAACTGTAATCACAATATGCACATTGTGTTGCATGAGGAAATTTTACATGGCATCAAAGCTCTGCATTAAAAATATCCTTAGTTTAGGGAAGAGTCTGGATAATGTTCAGTAATATGACAGATATGACAGATCACTCCATTGGGTTCACTGTGCTACTAGACTAGTATGGTGCCAGCAAAGCTACTCTGTTATCCACTGCCAGTTAATTTTTTAGGTAGTGAAGTCAGGTATTTCATAACAGAAAGGTTCAATGCGAAACAATCGTTCTCAGTATAAAGGAAAATAAAAACAGATTTACTTCTTTCCTCATACAGAGGTGCTTAGGACACAACAGCACTTGAGACAAATAACATGAATGCAACTTATTACTTTCCGAGGCTATTTTTAAATCTTCACGCTATTATTTCTTATACATACACACAAGGGGCTCTATCAAGCTCCAACAAACAACAAAGATAATACCAGTAATTTCCCCCAATAATTTAAACTTTCCAAAAATTGCTACAATTGCTAGAATACAAGTAGCTTTTTACTTCAATCACTTTCCAGCAGAATGGGGGATGACAAAAGGATTCCACACACCTTTGTACAGCTTTGCACAAAATACTAAAGTAACTTATAGATCGTCAGTGTAAAAAAGAAAATCAGCAGCAGCAGGACCTAAGCTGCTCTATTTAATACCATCTCTTCCAGCACGAGGTTAGCCAGCTTTGCAAACAATATCCCTGTTCTCCGCACATACCCTCTGAAACTGCCCTGAGCCAATGGTACTGAGAGATGAAAACATGCTAGCAGTCCCTCGCTCTCTGCGCCTCCTCAGGCTCAGCGTCCACTCTGGCGGCGCTTGAGGAGCCCTTCAGCCCGTCATGGCACTGTGGGAGCCCCTTTCTGGGCTAGCCGAGGCAGGAGCCGGCTCCCTCTGCTTGCCGGGAGGTGTGGAGGGAGAGGCGCGGGGGGAAATCCGGCCTGCGCTGCAGCGCTCGGGGGCCAGCGCAAGTTCCGGGTGGGCGTGGGCTCGGCATGCCCTGCAGTCAGAGCAGTCAGCCAACGCCGCCAGGCCCGGGCAGTCAGGGGCTTAGCACCCGCGCCAGCAGCTGCAGAGGGTGCGCCGGGTCCCCCAGCAGTGCCAGCCCACCAGCGCTGCTCTCCAATTCTCGCCTGGCCTCAGCTGCCTCTCAGTGGGGTAGGGCTCGGGACCTGCAGCCCGCCATGCCCCAGCCTCCCCACCACAGTCCTGCAGCCCCAGCCCTTGGACTAGCGCTGCCCCCTGCGCCAGGGCACCAGGTCCCATCCAACGCCCAAGGGCTGAGGAGTGCGGGCACGAGGCGCAGGACTGCCTGGCAGCTCTACCTGCAGCCCTGGTGCGGGATCTACTAGGTGAAGCCAGTGGGGCTCCATAGTGGGGACTTGGAGAACCTTTATGTCTAGCTAAAGGATTGCACATATACCAATCAGCACTCTTTCAAAATGGACCAATCAGCTCTCTGTAAAACAGACCAATCAGTAGGATGTAGGTGGGGTCAGATAAGGGAATAAAAGCAGGCTGCTGGAGCCAGCCAGCGCCACCCATTGTGGTCCCCTTCCCCACTGGAAGCTTCCTTCTTTCGCTCTTTGCAATAAATCTTGCTGCTGCTCACTCTTTGGGTCCACACTGCCTTTATGAGCTATAACACCACAAAGGTCTGACGCTTCACTCCTGAGGCCAGCGAGACCAAGAACCCACCAGGAAGAATGAACAACTCTGGACGGGAGGAACAAACAACTCCAGATGCACCATCTTAAGAGCTGTAACACTCACCGTGAAGGTCTGCAGCTTCACTTCTGAGGCCAGCGAGACCACAAACCCATCAGAAGGAAGAAACTCCGAACATGTCCGAACATCAGAAGGAAGAAACTCCAGACACACCATCTTTAAGAACTGTACCACGAAGGTCTGTGGCTTCATTCTTGAAGTCAGCGAAACCAAGAACCCACCAGTTCCGGACACAGTACCACTTTTAAGTATAAGAGCCTTTCCATGAGACCTCTACAACCTCCCTACCCCACAGCCACTAACCTGCTACAAATTAACACTGTTGGGGTTTAGAAGCCAGAGTATTGCATATCCTAAATTCAACCCATTGTAACTTAGTATCTCAGCAGTAGGAAGGCTTACAACTTTCATATTCTTTTTCTTCTCTTTTTATGTTTATGACTTCCTAAGGCACATTCAGCCTTGATGAGATAAATAAATCCTGTCCTATGAGACAAGCCCTAGGGTTGCTCAGAAATAAACAGAGCTTCTAGGTGAGAAGGAGCAAGCTAAAATAACAAATCAGGGCCAGGCGCGGTGACTCATGCCTATAATCCCAGCACTCTGGGAGGCCAAGACAGGCAGATCAGGAGGTCAGGAGATTGAGACAATCCTGGCTAGCACGGTGAAACCCTGTCTCTACTAAAAATACAAAAAAATTAGCCGGGTGTGGTGGTGGGCGCCTGTAATCCCAGCAACTTGGGAGGCTGAGGCAGAAGAATGGCGTGAACCCGGGAGGCAGAGCTTGCAGTGAGCCAAGATCACGCCACTGCGCTCCAGACTGGGCGACAGAGCGAGACTCCGTCTCAAAAAAACAAAACAAAAAACAGAACAAATCAGGAAGTCCCAGTGAACTAGGAACTTCCTGTGTGTTTGTAACTACAGAAATGGAATCAATTCCAGAATTTCCTAGTAAGCATTATGCTAAGATTCATATGCCCACGTTCTAAATCTAATATTCTACATATCCTGTTAATGCTCTCCATTAGAAACTAAATACATTTTAGTTTACTGTCAAGATATATTGTGAGGATTTTAAAGGGTCAACAATTGATTAAAAAAAAAAAAAATTTTGGGCATCTCGCCTGTAATCCCAGCACTTTGGGAGGCCAGGGTGGGTGGATCACTTGAGGCCACAGGAGTTCAAGACCAGCCTGGCCAACATGGCAGAACCCCAACTCTACTAAAAATACAAAAAAAAAAAAAAAAAAAAAGCATGGTGGCCAGCACCTGTAGTCCCAGCTACCCCAGGGGCTAAGGCTGGAACCTTAGCTTGAACCCAGGAGGCAGAGGTTGCAGTGAGCTGGGATCCCACCACTGCACTCCACCCTGGGTGACATAGTGAGGCTCTGTCTCAAAAAAAAAAAAAAAAAAAAAGGGTTTTGAGCATCTTGAATCAAAAGCTCAATGTACATTCAAGATACTGTTTTTTTCTTAACCAAATCGCTAATGGTGGATGTGGTGATAGTGATGATACAGGGAACTACAACAGAACTACAATGGAATTTGAGTCCCCTGGCTCCATTTCTATTTCTTCTGTCAGCCCAGGTCTCCCACAGCTGAACTTGCAGACTCATCCTTGCCCTAGTCCCAGATTAATCTGTATTTGAGGAAGAAGGCATTTAAACAGCTTTAGGAAGTATCCCACCACACTGTCTCCATGTCCATGCCTAAATACAGCACATCTTATGAGCTCTGCAGCTAAGATTTGATCATTGAAGATCATCTAAGCAACCCAGAAAATAGGGTCTTATTTTCCTTTGTGTGAGTTCCCAGGCTAATTTCAAACCAGCTGCCTAGACTTAAGCTTGATAATAATAACCTGTCTAATTTCCCCATCCTTCTGTTGACACATAAAGTCTTGTCTGTTCTTTCCTGACATCCAACCCCCACCAATCAAACTACTGTGCCTCAGTGGATTTACAGCCACACAGCAGAGCCTTCTGTCCTATAGATCAGCTTTCCAGGCAATATCCTGTATTCAGCCCAACTGCTGGATATTCCCACTATTTCATCTGACTATTTGCTTGAACTTGCTCCTTTCAGACAAAACTCACAGCTGCCTCATTAAACATCTTACATCCCTTA